AAGAGGCAAAGAGTGAATGAACTACTGAGTGAAAGAGCTCTTCTGTGTATTATAACTCACGCACTGAAGCCTGGATGCTTTCTGTAAGTATTTAAAAAAAAAACAAAAAAAACCAAAAAAAACCCAACCCCCCCCCAAAAAAAACCCAAATTGTATTTATGTTAATGTGGATATATTACTTGCCTGTTATATATTGTAAATAGCAAGGTTTATTCTCCTGTGGTTAAAAAAAAAAATATAAATAACTAAATAGTAGCGAGGCACATGTGTTAAAGGTATAGGCAGTGTATAAAATATACTAACACTCTGAAATCAGGAGAACTTGTCTTCTTGGCCTTTTGACCTAGGGTGGTAAAACATATGTGGGTTATTTTTCTTCTTCCCCCCACCATATTGTGTGTGTTTTGGGTCGGGGGGGGTATTTAGTTCCAGCGTTTTCCGATGTTTGCCTTATCTTTGAAGAGAGAATGGGGGCAAAAGCCTCATTTTGGAAAAATCCAGTGGAGCTTGAGCAGGATGAAACAAGTAGCAGCTGGTAGAAAAAATGTCAGATCCTCTCAAAACCCTTTCAAGTGCTTGACCTGGGTTTTCTGCTGGTGATAGATGTGTGTTGGAATTGAGTTAACCCATGGAGCAGGAGCTTCTGCTTGTGCTACTCCATGCGCAAGTTCAGAAAACCCTAGATAAGAGACCCTGAAGTCCTCTATAAAACATTGGGTAGTGTCCTGTAACCCCCTTTTTGTTCCAGCTGTATGAATTTTTGGGATTTGTATGGATTTTTCTGGAGAGGCTAATTCTACCACCACACCATTGGTTCTCCAGTGCAATTCAATGAAATTGCTCATTTTTGTAAAACTGCTACAAGAGTAGATTTGGGTCCCTGAATCTTTCATGGTGTCATTTCATATTAAAAAAAAAAAAAAAGTGCAAAGCAACTTTTTCCCTTTTTCTTACCCCCAGAGAAACAGTTTTTTGCAGCAGATGTAATTGGAGAAGGATGGATGGGTGTAGGGGAGGTCTCTGGTTTCTGATCCCCTTTCACCCCCTGTCCCCCCGAAAGTGTCAAAGTGTTGGTTCTCCTAAGCTGATCCAGCAAGACTTGCGGATCAGTTTTGGGGTGGGGGGGTGCAACCATTATTTATATAACTTTTTTATTAATTTTTTTTAAAAGAGAAGTTAGCTGATGGAAGAATATTTTTATTGAATAGTGCATTTAGTTATGTCAGAAATATAAAAAAATATATATAATATTTTTGTAAACAAGGCAAACTGAAGGTGTTTGCTGTTTTATATTAGAATTTTCTATTAAAAGAAATAAAAACCCACACAAATAATTGTTGCACCCGTCATCTGTTTTTTAACAAGCTTCTATTCTGTGTGACTGACTCATATATACCGGATGTGGAGACATGCAAAACAAGTCCTAAACATTACGTTCTCATTGTCTTCCAGCTCTCAAAAGACTCCAGTTGGTGAAACAAGCAGTGTTTAATGCAAGGGGATTTTTTGTTTGTTTGTTTGTTTTGATTCCTGACACTAAAAATAACTTATGAAGAATCAGTAAGTTGTAATTAAAATACAAAAACCTACCCCGAAACCTCAAGCTTACCCTTTTTAATTGTGCATCCTGGCCTTGAGATGGCTCTGGATGGAGGAAATCAGAAACCTATTTTCAATAACTAGATATTTGCCATTGATCTCAGTTGGCCTGGGAAGAATGACCCTTAAAAAGGTTGTTGGGGGGGAAAAAAAAAGTAAGTACATGGAAAGGATAAATGAAGAGGACCAAATTCCAGGCTTGCTCTAACACAAGCAATTTTTATCTATTTGAATGGGGCAGTGTAAAACTGGGGAGCTGGGAACTTGGTTTGCTGTGGTTCAGGAAGCCTGTCGTTCACCTTTGGAAGCAGGGGATGAGTTATGGACCATCTGTTTTCAAAACAGCTTTTGGGATTGCTGCTTTGGAGACTTGAGCAGGGGTGAAATAATTTCTGAGGATTTTTTTGCAGTCGGCCAGCTCGTACACATCTGCCTTCCTTAGCCCAGGTCTTGAATTTCTTTGTTAATCATTTTTCAGCTGCCCTATTTTAGCCAACACATGAGGAGAAATTAAGTTGGTTTGGCTGTAGTAGGGTTGGATGAGAACCCAGATGAAGGGACAGATTTCTCAAGGGTACTTTCATGGAGTAGATGCTGCTTAAGGTAATTTTCTGGTGGATTATAGTGCCTGTGAAAAATTCCTCCGTTGATGTTGCAGTAAAATTAGGTCTGTTCTGTACTCAATAAAACAGGTGCAGCAAAGCTCTTCGTTCTTGGTTTATTCAGCTCTGTGCACATCTGTTGGGTTGAGGCTGGCTTCCATGGTCAGCTCGTCCTGGCTTTTGGTTTTCAGGATGCTAACTAGGTGATGACTTTTGGAAAGCAGTATTTTCCCACAAGAGAAATAGTGCCTTTTATGACCATTACTGCTCATGTAACTTGAAGGAGGCTCAGTATGGCACAGGCTCAGGCCTATAGAAATCTGGTCATTGCTAAAGCAGTCAAGCTTAGGGCCATGGATATTACCACTGAATAGCTTTTAG